ATCCGAGAGACATCTATATATGATATTACATATAGATGTCTCTCAAATATCTTTGAGAGATCTGTGTATGATATTACATAAAAATGTCTCTCAAATATCTTTGAGATATTTGCTACGATATCTCTGAGACATTTGTATAAAGATATCTCTCAGATATCTCTGAGATATCTGTAACTTCATAAGGATATCCTTGTTACGTCAGTGCTATGTGGGCAGTATTACCATTACGCGTGGCGTGCCACGTGGCGCCCAGGCAACCAGCTGACGTCGTAATGACGTTAATATAAGGTCAGTTGCTGACTTGTTCGACGTCAGCTTATGACGTGATATTAACGTAATGACGACGTGAGTTTGTCTCGTCTAAATGACGTCAAATTAATGACGTTTACTTACGTCATTAACCTGCCGTAACGTGATTAACTTGACGTTTTATTTACGTCATAAATCACGTTGTAATACGCAATAAAGACGTAATATACACGGAGAAAAATAATTTGCTGACACAGCAGATTTTTTGGGATATAATTGTTAAATTGTGTTAAATCACATAGTCATCAAAAGCAAAGAGGATCATATAGAGTGGAAGCTGGCCGTGTACCGCGATTCGTGCCATCTGACAGTTCGGAGACGCACTACGTGTAGTGTGTCACCGTGCAGCTTATATATCACTTTTTAACATTTATTCTCAAGTGTATGCGATAGCCACGTGCGTTAGACGTCGGACCGTCACCCGCGCGAGCCGGGTTCGATTCCCGGCGAGCAAGATTTTTTTTCTCGATATATTATTGAAGAGTGGGGGGGGATTTAGGATGGCCTCTGAGCTGGTAGATGGCTCTGAAATTCGGCCACGCTATTTAACATTGTGCTCTTATGGCAGCTTCCACTCTATATGATCCTCTTTGATCAAAAGTATATTCAGGTTATTGAGGTCTATCCATGATCCAGACAACTCGCTCTCGCATCATATCGGCTCGCCTTTTATACTAATACGGGACGATTTTTACTTACGAGAAAGACGCGCCGGTCGCCACGTCGCGGCAGTATGTGGTACTAGTGCTATCTATTTAGGAGGGAATCAGGTGTTATTTAAATAACGTCATTATGACGTCTTACTTACTTCTTCCAACTGACGTCACTCCAAAGACCAATAGTTACGTCATATATGACGTATACTTATGATGTATATACTGACGTCATTGTTATGACGTTCAAAATAACGTCAATTTAGGTCATAGTCACCAATTAGTGACAAAAATCACGTTAATTTACGTCATTACGACGTCAGCTGGTTGCCTGGGCGGTTGCAACGGTTAATTGGGGTAGAATTCTTCGAATCTCAAATAGAACTAAACTACATATTGAGTAAATAAAAAATAGTGTTAAAAAAGCTTAAGAGGAAACAAATATGAAATCATAAAAATGTTAAAATATAATATTTATTCATATAAACTATTGTCCTTTAAAAAGAACGGTTTTTGTACAAGTGTGTCGAACAAAATTATCGTGCTCTTTCAGAGAAAGAACTTTATCCTCGTATCTTAATTTTACCTCTAAGTATTCCAATATAATTAATTTTATTAATTCGTATTTATGATTTTCTAATACATCTAATTCTAAGATATGTGCCTCAAAATTTGTAAAAATCATATGTAGTTTTAAATTTCTAAAAACGTCACTTACAATCCGCATATGTACATACTTAGGAATCGTCGCTTTTTAACGCTTGCTTTGCGTTGTGATGAAATGAGCTTCTATTCGCTACATGAAAAGGATAGAGGCGATAGCGAACAGCTTTTTAACGCTGCTTTGCGTGGCGGTGGAGTGGGGGTAAAACGCCAGCTTTTACTCGCTGCGTGAAACTGCGGCTTGAGTCTTCACTGACGTCGTTGTTCGCCCACGTTCGCCAATGTTTTAAGATGGCGGACGCGAATGAAAAGTTGCTGGCAGAACTCCTGAAAAAGCCTGGGAACAATGTGTGTGCGGATTGCGGGGCCAAGAGTGAGTGCGTTCCGTAAAAAAGCTGCCGTTTATCTGAGCCGCCACGAGCGTACGAGACCTGTTCGGCGATAACGTGCGTCTTAACCTCCCGGCGTTCGTTGCGATAAAAACAAACGTCTAGATGTTTGTTTTTATCGCGATATTAAATATTACGATTATATAATGTAGCGTCGTGCGAGCTCGGTCGCGGATCACGACGCCTGATGTTTGACATTGTGCGGCGTCGCGCACTTCTACGACGACCAAGTTCGATAATATTGCCAGCGATAAAGCGATAATGTCAACGATAAAGTAGCGCGAAACGACGGAAATTGTCACGGTTACCGGGACTACGTTAGCCTTCCTTTCTTTCTTTCCTTTTCGTACAGCGTTATGCGCTATCGTAAAGCTCTGTCTACAGTGAGTTGTTAGTCGTTAGGTCTAATATACAGGGTTTGTTTTCTGTTCCTGCACTGGTGAACTAGTGCAGTAAGCTAGAATGAGAAAAAATATGCTTGTCTTACTCCAATTTATTGCACTAGTTCACTAGTGTAGAAACAGAAAACAAGCCTATAATGTGTTTTTCGCAACAAGAAACATTCTATTTTATACAAGCGAATCGAGACGCTTTAAAAATTTGTGGACAATGCACGATTGCGAAATGTATAATACACAGCTAATCAACTCTCACAATTTTTTTAAATGCGTTTATTAGCTACAAAATTGAGTGTTTCTAGATGCAAAGAGCACATTGTAGATCGGGCTTTAGTCAGAAGTCAAAGCTATATATCGGTCCTGTTTCTTCCATTCAGAAAGAAGAGGATCAACATGTAGTTCCGATTTCTGACTAACGACTACGATTCATTGTAGATCGGGTCTTACTGACCACTGTCATTGCGTTTCAGATCCAGAATGGGCATCTTACAATATAGGTATATTCGTTTGCACGAGGTGTGCCGGAGTACACAGATCAATGGGAGCACATATTTCGAAAGTGAAGCACTTAAAGTTAGATAGGTGGGAAGATTCTCAAGTGAATAGGATACGCGAAGTGGGTAATGTCGTGGCGAGATTGCACTACGAGGAACGTGTACCCTCTTGCTACCGCAGACCGAACCCAGATGCCCCACAGTGAGTTATCAAGCGTCTGTGGTTTTCCTGTTTTAGTCATCGCCTTGTAACGCATTTCTAATACAGTTGTTAGCTTGCAATTATATTTAAATAATAACACTTTTATTGAATCAATATTATATAAAGTAAATTAAGTTACCAGAGAGTATAGTTGACAAAATTTATTAGAGTTTTAGTTGAGCAGTGGATAAAAGCAAAATATGACAGGGAAGAATTTTGTCACCCCGAAAGACAAAATCACTATGTGTCAGGATTCATGGAAGGATTTTTAATGAAACGCGGGAAGGAAGATTCGCGTTATCATCCTCGTAAATTTGTACTCTGCGAAGCAGAGGATACACTCAAGTATCATGTTAAGGAAAATAAAGTGAGTGATAATCTGAGTCTACAGGGGTGCAAATATATAATCTCATGTTTATTTTAAGGAACCTAAAGCTGTCCTAAGGATATCGGAACTAAATGTGGCGTTTGCACCACCTAAAACCGGTAATCAGAACAGTCTTCAATTGTCCTTCATGAAAGACGGCACAACGAGACATATCTACGTGTATCACGAGGATCCGGAGGTAATCACGAATTGGTATCTCGCCATCAGGTGTGCGAAACTGCACCGCTTGCAAGTGGCGTATCCAGGCGCGAGTGAGAACGAGTTATTGTCACAACTCACCAGGGATTTTCCACGCGAAGGCTTCCTGTGGAAAACTGGCCCGAGACATACAGACGCTTACAAAAAAAGATGGTTCACGTTGGACGGTAGAAAACTTATGTATCACGATGATCCTATGGTACATTCCAATGTTTACTTATTATATTATAATATATTAATATTGAATGATCTACATCTCGTCTTTTTCTCCATATTCTAAGGACGCTCATCCGAAGGGTGAAATCTTCCTGGGACATAGCTCCGAAGGCTTCGCGGTGAAGCCCGGCGTACCGCCGGGTGCTAGGGATCAGGGATTTTCGTTTACTCTCGAAACACCTGATAGGACTTATCTGCTCTCTGCGCAAAGCGATGACGATAGATCGCAATGGATTAACGTGATTCAAAAAGTAATAGATAAACCGCTAACGCCACAGGATGCGACCGGTAAGCCGGTAACCGGAACGTATGCAAACTTTAACTCAAGGGAATACGTATGTATACGTTGATTTTCATTTACAGTAGCGGCAAGACTCGTAAGAAAACGCACAGCAAGCGGAACAATGAATATATTTTCGTCTACGAGATAGGGCTGGATTCCTCTTAGACGTCTTTCTTAATTATATTCGGTAATCGATCGAATCGTATTGTCAAAATAAATATATGGCTCAGCACACACGCGAAATGGCGCATATAGTTTTGGGTTGTCTACTCATCTTGGTGCCGTTGAGTCATGTATTTAATCTGCACACAGTTAATGTAGTTTGCATAGAGACATACGCATAAGACTGCTCGAAGATGTTGATCAACGTGGATAAACTGCAAGCACCAACCTCGGTAACTCTTGCGTTGAAAATAATGCTCGTGTTCTCGCTTACCATCGAAATGAGTAGGCAGGCAGTATCGTAACAATATTATAAGAAATTTTTACCTGGCAATAATATTGTGTGTGATACTTGTCTCCGACAGTGTAACGTTCGGAGCACCGAAAGAAATTCTCTTCCAGAAGTTTGATCTAATCTGTCGGAACATTTTATTGAACAGCAAACCTAGCTTAAGATAGAGATTACTTTAAAGATCACGGATTCTCGCAGTATTTTCTTTTTCCCTTTTTTTTATTTACTTAGCTGGTTTATTTAGACCACCATTATAAGGCCACAAGTGATAACGATACACACTGTACATAAAAAATAAAGGACTCTGAGGGCCTATCACTCCTCATTATCATTATCTCTTCGAAAGAATTATTTGGTCCCATACTATTCCCATAAATATTATTATTTGGAAACAAATATTACAATAAATTATATATACGTGTAACTAGTACTACGTATACTAATTGTGCGTTAAATTTTCTGGAAATGTTTCATTGACGGAAACAAGATAATTATCAAGCAAAATGTCAAGGAACTCATTAACGAATATCTTGTTGATAATTGATTATTCAGGTACATGCATGAGAGAGAGTGTGTGTGTGTGTGTGGTGTGTGCATACGAAAAGTCTTAGTATTCTACTTTCTGCTCGCATTCGGAAACGGGTAAATTTTTCAAATAACATAGAATATTGACCCAGCAGAAAGCAGCAATACTGACATATGTCACTCGAAAAGACGGTGGAATTAATAGGAAGTTGACAAATTGCACCGGCAACCAATATCCGCACGAAGTCTGAAAAATAAAGATATATATGTATAACTTCTGTAATGTACAATTTTCGAATTCGGAAACGAACCTTAAAAGTGTGTACAAATTTAATTTTGCATTCTTGAAGGAGATCCGACTTAGCTTCCATTAAACTCATACCTGTAAGATTTATGATGCAGATTATACTCTGACGCGAAAAAAAATTTAAGTAATGTTTACATAAAGCGGAGACACGAACTGATAAAGAACAAGATAAGTAATGGTGGTGTCAAGATAAATTGATCCGCAAAAAGTTTTTTTAACACAATCCTCGTGGTTTTCCCACTGTAGAACGTATCGAGCCATTTGTACCTGTATCATTATCTAAAGTTAATTTGTAAATTCATTACGAAATTGTGTAAGTACTTGGCACCATTTTAATGAACATTGTCGAAATACCATCCGTGTAGCATCGGTCCGGCCATGAGGCAACCGAAAATTGCGTATCTTTTCAATTGCGGCCAGTTGTAAGTTGTTGAATTAGAACTATTATCTACCAGATCCAACATCTCGCAAAGTTTTTGTACTTGGATTAATATTGGTCCCTTGACAGTAGAACAAATTTCCGGCTCCGCAGTAATCGGCTGTATCGGCTACAAGGTTGCAATTCACTCCATTAGCATAAATAATGTAAAAGAATTTTGCTCAACACAGAGGGATTTTAAATCCAGGAATTTCACCTTGGACATCTTACTGAAGCTCTGTCGGATGAACTCTGCGCTCGTATAGAAGAAACCGTACACCATCGAATTGAATAACAACGGCCTTCTCTGCATAATACTACTCACGACTCGAAGAACCTTCGTCGAAGACATATTTTATCTTACTACAGTCTGTACTACCGTGTTTCGTGTCACTTGATTCACGTTTCGATGTGCGTTATCAAATAAGCTACGATATTACTGTTACAGCGTTTTACTAGTGAGTAAGGAGTCAAATGGATGTGCCGCATCAAAGAGTTACGTTGATACTGGCGTATAAAAGCAGCACTAGCCATTTAGACTCAATCATGTTCAATCATGACTCAACTACGTCAAATTGTATCACATCAACATTCTCTCCTCTCCCTTTCTTCCAAAATCTCTATGACAAATGTACATTGTAGGGAGAAGAAACGTATGTATTGACCTTTTATATATTTAAAAAATTGCTTATATTCTGAAAATTTTTCTATACATTCTTCTATATGACAAAGTCATACAATTAATAAATATATAAATTATTATACCTTTTGCTGTAATAACAGTAATAGTCAATTAGGTATGATGGATTGTAGTTCGGAATGCAACCAACTTATCCAATCAGAAGATGCTTCCTTCTCCAAGGTAACTTCATGAAAAACTTCACTTCTTTCCACCTAAATTATAATTTTGTCTACACAGTTAATTTTGCCAATATATTATTTTACTTGTAGTGTTGCACATTTTATATATAGTTACATAAGTATTTTCGTTAAAAAAATAGCGTGACTATTAGACAACTTGTACATTTTGTTTTCCGATTTAAGCAAATATTAAATCAGTAAACCAACTACATCAAACTATTAAAATATTGAAACAATTTTGGATTTAATATACACACGGTACATATAGCTCGGTAACACGGCACCCTAATCGGGTTTAATAATATCTGTAGTTATAAAACTGGCCAATCACAACCATTCCTCAGAAGAATGGAATGACTGTGATTGGCTTAGCCCCTTAACTACGGATGTTATTAAACCTGATTAAGCACTCCGTGTAACAACACTCATAGACGCCGTGTTAGGTCTTTTTCTTTTTAATGCGTTTAAGAAAGTGCATTTAGATTCAGGATTACGGGCGACAGTAAGTTATTGGCGATCCGTTGATTCCGCTTCCGCGTATTCCGTTCCATGGGACGGTCACCCTTACTTACCTCTCGGAAACCAAGTTTCTCGAACATTCTAAAGCTCACTGCATTGTCCAATTTGATTTTAGCGCAGAATTTATTAATGTTTAACGTTTCGACGCCTGTTATAAAAGTAAATGTAAATCATTATAAAGAAGAGTGCTAAGAGTACCAATAATCGTTATCATAACTGATTTACCATAAAGTAACATTAGAACAATAGATTCCCAACCCCTCTTTTTGCCACGGTATGACTCGTCTGCTATCATGATTTCTATTTCGGCGACGATTAATCCCTGGGAACAATGCAGAAACATATTTGTATCTCCCACCATAGCATCTGAAACGAATGGAGGTAAAATGATTGGTGGAAGCATGGAATGTAGTTTGAAGGCAGTTGAACACAAGAGGTTTGTTTTTTGTTGCTGCACTGGTGAACTAGTGCAATAAATTAGAGTAAAAGTATATTTTTTCTCATTTTAACTTACTGCACTAGTTCACCAGTGCGGCAATAGAAAACAAGCCTATAAGGCTAAGGCCACATGGATTGATTTTTCCGCGTAACGCGTATCGCGTAACGAATCATATCGTTCATTCTTTTGGAATGTTCCAACGGAAATGTCAATCGTCGCAATTCATTGGTTACGCGATACGCGTTACGCGAGAAATATCAGTCCATGGGACC